CTTCCTCAAGGAATGCCAAAAACAGATAAATGAATTAGACACGAGACGTAGTCCAACAACTTGGGTAACTTCTTGTCATGTTCCTGCAGGTAGATTAAATAACTACATGATTTACCCATTAGGAACATAAAATAACTTGAACTAATCCTGAAAAAAAAAATTGTTAAATGAATTCACTTGTTTGATGTCTTGATGAAGAACTTTTCCATCAGTAGAAACAGGGGTCGGAAACTGTTCTAATGGATTTACAAGATATATATAATTCAATATTGATGGATGTTGCTGCAGTTCATGGTCCCGAGGAATGTAAACACCTCCATTTTTTTGTGTGTTATCTAAAGATACCTGAATGCCATTACTTTCGCCATGCCTTGTGCCTTGAGGAGCCTAATACAATCTTTTTATCATACAATCCTTGTGCCATTATATTAATGAAGATTAAGACGATACTCTAATTTAATCTCTACATTTATTTAGATATTTTTTCTTCTCAATTTTAAATTATCGCAATACATTTAATTTTAACTTCTTGCACCAATTACTACACGTAGAAAAGTGGATTACAATGTGGTGGAATGGATAGACATTTTGGCCCACTAGTCCATTTAATTTTTAAATATTATTTTTAATTTATATTTTTATTGCATTGATATTTTAAGATATTAAGACTAATGGATCAATTTTAGGGTTTAGAATTTAACGAGTGGACAAAAGACTCCTTGTACTTATCATAGTAGTTCAACCTATCTCAAACTATTTTTATAGGTTAAAGGTGGGACAAATTGACCTGTATTGTCATTTTTATCAAATATTTTTATTTAACTTTCATTTTTTCTATTAATAATAAAGTCTAAATATACATATTTAATATATTTAAATAATTTTTTTTAACTATGTAAAAGTAAATATTAAAAAATATTATATTTAATCCAATTTTTTATACATTAATTTAATTACAAGCTTCCATACATGTTAGGTTTTTAATTTTAATAATAATTATCTTAAAAATATATATAAAAAGTAATTTTATTGGTTAATAATGTTGTATTGTCCAATCTAATTGACCAATCTTTCTCGTGAAATTTATTCAATTAAGCTCTTAAAGCAAGTGGTAGTGCATTGCTCAATCTACTAATCAACCTCTTTCACCAATTAACTGGTCAAGCCGGTTAACCTCTTTACATCAAAGACAAACTACTTAAAGTTATAATACATAGATGAATATAAAGGCAATGGTGTCAAAATTTGTGAGATTTCTTCCACAAATTTTGGGGTGTTAATATGTTCAAATATAAGTATATGATTTTTTTTTTAATTAAGATGAACACATTACTCTTTAAATATTTTAGGGACGAATAGTTACTAAGATTTTCTAAAACTGTTCCTCCATGTTAAAAGATTAAAAAAAATTACATGAACAATACATGTTAAAAAAATATTTTTGAAAAAAATGAACAATAAAAACAATACTAAAACATTTTGTGTTAAATAGAAGAGAAATACAATTATATTTACAATAAAGATTATGAAAATATAAATAAAATATTTGCTTAAAAAGAAAAAAAATCCATTATGATCATAATAAGTGTTATAAGAAGATAACAAAGTACTTTATGAAAGAAGACAAAAATAAACTTAAATACTATTCTCTCCACAAATAAACTCTCAAACATAAATAATTGTCCAAATTATCTTAACATGGGAATATAACGGTTAAGGCTCTTCTCTTTTGGGCTTTAGGCCCTCCTTTGTAAAGAAAAAAAAAAAGATGGGAGAGGTGGCAAGAATGTGTTGAGATAAAGAAGAATAAGATGGGGAGTAGGGATGACAACGGGGCGGGGCGGGTACGGGTTTCATGATACCTGTCCCCGTCCCCGCGACTAAAATCCATACCCGTCCCCGTCCCCATACCCGTCGGGTATGTAAATTTTGTCTCATCCCCGTCCCCGTCGGGTATCGGGTATACTCGTACCCGTAAAAAAATATTTTCTTTTTAATTTTTTTTTTTAACGATCTGGATCCTATTCGAAAAGCAAAACCCCAATTGAAGCTGCAAGGATCTGCCTGAACAGCTCAATACTAGAGACCAAAACTACCTGTTTTTCATATACAAATAGATAAGCATGTGCTTTAAAAGAAGACCCTTTAAAGCATTGTACTCATGTACAGGCAGAAGTGAAGCAGAAAGAGTACTCGTGGCTGATACGGTGGCTCCGTGGCTGACTGGTTGGTGCGGTAGGCGGCGGCGCCGTGGGCCTTGGAGAGGGAGACGGCGACGGCCACGCGGGCGAGGTTAGCGTGGCTGCGGTGCACTGCGGCGGCGAAGCGTGAGAGGCAGAGGTCCTGGTATAGCGTGGTGTTGCAGCTTGCTCGGATGAAGTCGATGTCGCCGGAAGCGTCGGGTGCGGTGGTGACGGCGGTGGCAAATAGGGTGAAATGGGAGAAGGTGAATGTGAATGTGAAGAGTAAGAGAGAGAAGCGGAAAGGGATTGTTGTATGGACTGCGAATCACATTTGAAAAATTGAAACAATAACCTAAGTGTTTGCTTGTTCATCGTGACGTATAGATTTTACAATAATATTTAAAATGTTAATTTTTTTAAAATAATTAAACGGGGATGAGTATTTAACTGGGGACGGGGACGGGAACGGGGACGGGGCGGGTAAGTATATACTCGACCCCGTACCCGTACCCGATTTTTTTTATCGGATTTTACCCGTACCCGTACCCGTACCTGATCAAAGCGAATATTCCCCGTCAAAGTCGAGACGAGTTCGGGCATTATCCACGAGTACGAGTTTATTTGATGGGGAGTGAGCATGGAAGGTAAAGGATAACGGAGAGAGCGTTAAGCAATTAGGGATTAGGGTCCTGGGTCCTAGGGATGAGGATGGGTCCCACCAACTAACTATACATGCCAATGGACGAATCACAATCGTCTTTTCTTCCCTCCAATTCACCCTAAACCTTCTGTTTCCCAACCCATGGCCCAGACTCGGAGATCCACCGGCACAGTCAAGTGGTTCAACGCGCAGAAAGGTTTCGGCTTCATAACACCGCAGGACGGCTCCGACGATCTCTTCGTTCACTTCACTTCCATCCGATCCGACGGTTACCGCTCGCTCTCCGAGGGCCAGTCCGTCGAGTTTCTCCTCGACCACGCCGACGACGGCCGCACCATGGCCGTCGACGTCACCTCCGCCGTTAGATCTCGCCGTCCGGGGGGAGGCAGGGGCAGGGGAGGGGGACGCTACGCCGCCGGGAGAGGTTACGGCCCTGAGTGTTACAACTGCGGGAGAATAGGTCACTTGGCCAGGGATTGTTACCAGGGACAGGGTGGTGGTGGTGGCGGCGATGGGAGGAACCGGAGACGCGGCGGCGGCGGCGGAGGAGGAGGAGGAGGAGGAGGAGGAGGAGGAGGAGGATGTTATAACTGTGGAGAGGAAGGGCATTTTGCGAGGGAATGTCCGAATGTTGGGAAATGAGTGGGAATTTGGGGTTATGAATTGTGAGTTTGTAACCGTTAGTTGCTGTTGGGTTCTGAGCATTTCTTTTCTTATTATTTGTTTCCAAACTTTGCTAATTGTTTCATCTTCTTTTCAAGTTTTTATCTAACAAACTCTCATTGTGCTTCTTCCAACCTCTGCTATCTGTCATTGTGATGTGAGAACCAAATTTCGGCATATCTTTTCCACTATAAATTAATTAATTCTTTCTGTGTTCTGATCGATTTCTACAATAGTTGCTGGAAAGAACTTGAATTTTGTCTTCTGATCCATGCATGTATTGTGAGGCAACATCTTATCCGTTTTGATAAGCAGCGGGGGGGTTTATACAGTGGTTCCATGAAATATATGACACGTAAATTTAGTCTATTCAGTCCTCTAGATTTGTGTGTGCGGATAAAATACGTTGTCGTTTCTCATCTTTATTTATGAACATAATAATTGTTGTGGAGGCGCTGCTTTTTTTCTGATTTTATTCTTTTTAATTATTTTCTGAGTTTAATAAACTCATGTGGCAGAGGCTTTCGAATCTTTGATATTCTGAAAAATAGTGAATAAATTATTGTGGTCTTATTTTTGGTTACAGGTTACAATACAGTTGCAAAACTAAAGCTTTAATAAATTAAAATCATAATTATTCATAAAGTTCTTATTAGAAGTGTTATGCTCCGTCAAATTTTTATTAAGTATATTTAATGGCTAGCTCAGTTGTTAATAATTTTGAAAGATGTGCTTGTCGCATGTGTGATTATATATTAAAAAAAAATAGTTTGTAATCTTTGTTTGATCGGAAAAATCTTTGCATTTTACTTTTTTCTTCCATTTTCCATCTTAAATTAGTATGAGTTAATTTTTATTGTTTCTTCCAAAAGGGAACTTTAGTAGTATTTTAAAATCTCTTGAAGGTCTCTTATCACCCCAAATCTTCCAAATTTGATACATTTGATGTTTAAGATATCATACTCAGATTAATTCTTTGTTCACGAGGAGTCAAACAAGGTAGATTTTAGAATACTTGAAGACTTTTTCAACATTGTGACAACCTGCTTCACAAGTGAAGGATAAATCAATAGTGGCAAAAAGAATAAGTGGTCCTGATAATCTAATGCCTTGGTTTTTCTTTTTCTTTTTCTTTTTTCTTTTTCTTTTTCTTTTTCTTTTTTCCTTTATCTATCTCTTAGAACTTATGGCTTTCTTCATACATAATACCCGATTCTTATAGATTGATCGATATCCGTCAGTTCATTAATTTCCTTTGGTCTTTTGGATTTATGGTCGATATAGTTCATGTTAATTAGTCAATATTGATGAATGCTCCGATCTAGTTGTTGAATATTGCTCGGAGAACCGTGTCACAAAGTCATATTAATGGTTGTTCTATTTTCTTTTTGTGTACTTCAATTTGTTCTTCACCGCACGTAAACAAAATTCATCTTTTCTTTGGTTGATAAGAGCATTTCTGACCACTGATGAAAGAGAAGATAGAGAATATATAGATAGTGTGTTCCACGATTTAAATGAAAGTGAAGCTTGTTTTACAAATTATAATTGAAAAAGGTTAATAGGTCTCGAACTGGCAACTGTGAGTTTATGAAGTCTTTGATACCTTTATTTTTGTATTTTCTCGGTAGGGATTGCCTCGATGTTACTGATTCTTTTCTTTGGGTCTTGGATTGTCCACTGATGCTTTGTTTGGGTCAACAAGAAAACATTGATATGATTTTAAAAAGCCCAAAAACTAACAAATACTTTACTTAATTTGTCTTCAAACTTCAAGGAAGGCGTGAAGTCCACTTGACCCACCAATCCTACACTTCATCATCTATTTTTACGTTCATTATACAATTATATAATTGAATTTGTTGAAGGAAACTGAAGAAAAATAATGGTGTTGAATCCAGTTATACAAAATAATTAAGTTCTTCGAACATCGAATATAAGTTTGAGCTTGATTTAATTAAGTTTCAAAACTCGATGGTATATAAGGAACATATCAAGTGAGAGAGAATTTATTATGAGAGATGAGAGGATTAAAATATAATCTTTAGATTAATTTTCTCTCACTTGATTAAACCCCAAATTTTCTCTCACTTAATTAATCTAAGGGTTATATTTTATCTCTCTCATCTCTCATAATAAATTTCCCCTCACTTGATATGCTATCATATATATATATATATATATAACTTTCTTTCGGATAAAGATTAAATTTATTACTGACGTTAATATAAGTCCAAATATAAGGATTTTGATTTAGATGCAATCATGCAAATAGAAATGAACACATTAATATTCTACCCAAATCTTAATCATCATCATTTGCATTATTGTGATGGGAAAAGAGTTTCCTAATAGACCAAACATCAATGCTTAAAAGCCACTCATGGCTAACAAAGGAAAGGCATCAGATAGGGATGGCAATGGGGTCTATGAGGGCGAGTAATAATAAACTCGTCCTCGTTCTGCGGAATAAAAATTGACCCTATACCTACCCATATCCGTATGGGTATTCATTAAGCGAGTATTCATAAATTTCTTGAATACTCACGGATATCTATGGATATTTATAAATTTTTTAAGAAATTAAAAAAAATTATATTAGAAATAATTTTAAGTTTATATTTAATGTCATTGAAATATTAAAAATAAAAATTTAATATTAATTTTGAACTTGTATTTAATTAATGCTGATTTTTTTAAAATAATAATAAAAATGCAAGTTAATCAATAACTTAAAATACATTAATCTCACAAGTGAAAGTTTCATATCAGAAAGCTACAATAATTCAATCTCATAATTCTAAACGAAAGTAAACAACTTAAAATACATAAATCTTATTGTGATAACTAATGTATGGGCTGTGCGGTTATGGAAAGAAAATAAGATGAGAGAGTTGTTATGGTCACTCGAGAATTTGAGATCGCTCGAAGTCGAAAAGTATTGTAAATATCCACTAAAAGGAGCCTCGGAAAAATCAGGTCCGTTCAAGGGTTGATCGAAATGAGAAGTGTCTATAGGAGGTCTTTTAGCAAGTTGGGCAGTTATATTATCGAAGATACTTGGTCGAGACATGGAATGAACGGTTAGAAGAAGTTATATCTTTAATCTATGTAAAGGTGGGCAGTTATATTATCGAAGATACTTGGTCGAGACATGGAATGAACGGTTAGAGGAAGTTATATCTTTAATCCACGCAATGGACGTAGTGGATGGCGGTTATGCACCCATGATAGATTTTTACAAGAGTAACCGCTCCCGAGTGGAGTCTATAAATATGGGCATCATACCCCATCAAAGGGGTCGAAAATTTCATACTTATAACTCTCTCTCAAGCACTCTCCGCCTTCGCATATGGCTTTCGTGCAAGGAATTATTTTTGGGTATGACCACTTCTCGGCCACTTTTCTTTTCTGCTTCTAGGATTAGGATTAGTGTAGTTTTTCTTCTTAATCACGTATTGTAATTGTGTAATTGTACTTTGATTACTATGCTTCAACATTTTATTTGTAAATCTGATCATTATGCAAATTGAACTATGATTTGTATTGCCACTGTATGTTTTAATTACATTGTGTGTTTAAGTATTTACATGCATGCAAATTATTGGTTAATTATAATCCATGAAGATTTGGAAACTGGCTTTTGGTAATTGTTGTCGTGTACTTCCATTCTTAAACAACGTGAACATCTAAAATACCTAAATTGAAACACATTGGTGCTAGTTCGAGTAAAAAGGACTCATAAGCGAAATCTACCGTAAACAAATTGGCACGCCCAGTGGGACCCGTTTAAATTACAAACATAATTGGACTAGTGTTAGGTATGCATGTTGTATGAGACTTAGGAGTGGAAGAACCATGTCTACGTCTAATAGTAGGGGAGAAGCGAACAATGATAATCAAGTAGATGTAGAACAAGGAAATCCTAATCCGGATAATGTGACAAATGTGACAAGGGGGGCAACGTCTTCTCCTGTTGTGCTCGAAAATGTGGCTAAACAAACTAATGTGTCACAAGAACTAGCAAATGTCACTAGGAAATATCCTTGGGGTATGCCACAGAATTGGCGAAATACCCAACCTGTACATGTGGAGATGCCAATACCTTATTTAGGGCCAAATTCACAAATGCACGTGTCTCCGCAAGGATATAATCCTGGACCAAATGGTTTGGGTTTTGTTATGCAAGACCCCTACCAACATGTAGGGACAAGTCATGAAGGTTCCCTGATTCGACAAGGTAGTTATGTACCTACTGGTATTAGTAATCAAACCATGATGGCTCTTCGACAACAGATGGACCATAGTAATCATGACATGGTTAATTTGTTGTCAACTCAAATGCATAACATAATGACTCCTTTGTATGAATTGATAAACAAAATAGGAGATAAATTAGGAGATGTTCCGCCTTCGAGAGCTATGAGTGCGAATTTGAACGATATGGAAAATCTCGGGGGAAATGTAGTGTTTCCACAAAACGTAGGTCGACCCTATAGGAACCCTGAGGACAACCTAGATCAAATTGTAGAAAGGGTACTAAACAGACATGGTTTCGAGGTAGGTCGAAATGAACACCCTTATTTTGTGTCAGCCTTTCCAGATCACGTAACTCAAGTAGAATTGCAGCCACTATGGTGGTGCTGTTATAGCCGCTGAGCGGTGCTGATATCGCTGAATGATTGTGGTGTAGTATAAGCTGTGCGAGTATGCTGATAGTTGTAGATGTTTATATTCATATATTTAAATATGTATGTTGTTTTCTTTACACTAGCTTACCCTTTGTTGTCTCCATGATGTTTGGACTGCGATGATCATACTATGTATGGGAGCAGAGCAGGGATAGGTCGGTGGCTGGTAGTTGGGCTATAGCTGACAGTCGGAGTTGACTCCTCTTGGGATGTTTGTCTTTTTGTTGTTTAGCTACTCGGTGTAGCAATTGATTGATGTATCTTTTTGTACACTCTAACTCTAGTCAGACTGGAACTTTGTATATCTATATATTATAGATCCTATATTTATATACTTGTTCTATCTCTCTGGTGTTTCTAGTGTACTGTGCCGTGTGTAGTGACCAGCCGGATCGTTACATAAATAGTTTATAAATTATTAGATTTGTTACCATGCGATACCCGAATCATTTTGGTAATTTGTGTAATATGATATCCAGTTTTTTTTTCATCATATAATAGTTGTATGATAAAGTGAATAACTCCTGAA